GCAATGGAGGCTTGTTGCAGCTGCAAAAAGGAAAAGGAAAAAAAAGCAAAGGAGGCCAGCGCCCTCCACCGTTAGATCGTCGGTCATAGGGGTAAGAACTCAACACAACACAAAAAGAAATCAGGCCCCTTGCTGTCGAAGTCCAAGCTGTGGCAACTCCAGGGTCACTCTAAAGCATGGTTGCCAACGGGACGTCTGGATCCCGACCCAGACAGTCCGGGTCTGGATGCCCGGGTCTGGTGTCCGGTTTGGTAGGTCCGGATGGGCCTGACTCCCGAAAAATTCAAAAAACAATTCGGGGGTGCCCAGGCCGTTTTCTAGGCCCTGGATGGCCCCGCAAAATTGTTGGTAACATTTTTTAAATTTTTTTCTTTGTTGGGGGCCTACCCGGATTGGCCCTGAAGTGCCCGAATCAGCACAGGGCGGTTGCATCTGCAATTGCAACAACGGTTGCATCTGCTGCTGTAATAGAAGTGGCATCCGCAGCTGCACCTGCTCTATCAGCGGTAGTTGCAGCTGCAGCAACAGCAGCAGGAACAACAGCTGCAACAACTGCAGCAGCAGGAACGGCAGAAAGGATTCACACGGCAGACACCCTGTCCTGGTCCCAGGGTCCCGACAAGTCCCCAGTCCCAGGGCGGTCCAGTAGGGTAGGCCGTAGGGTCTAGGGGTCCAAAACGTCATAGGTCGGTAGGTGTCGGAACMGAAGCGTCATAGGTCGGTAGGAGTCCGTCCGGTACCCGACAAGAAAAGTCTGGAAGAGTCCAGTCCGTTCCGACAGTTCCAAGTCCAATTTTGCAGCATGTCCCAGGAAAGTCTGGAAGCTAGCGGACCGACAAAATGTTTGCAGCAGACAGGCCGCGGCCGGCCAGTACCGGTCTGAAGCAGGCCAAGCTGAGCCAAGCCAAGCCAAGCCAAGACCTATATCTAGCTGCTACTGTGCAGCGGCTCATCACTTGTTCAGTTGCGAGATGCGGAAGCGATGCTGCTCCTTGTGCGTTAAGGTAACTTGGGCACTACATGCCTGAAGAAGAAGAGGGCGACTGGGAAACACTCCATAGCTAGGCTAGAGGTAGAGCAGCAGGACGGCGGCCATAGCCGCCAAGGTGTAAGCTACCTGAGTGGGTGTATCCAGGGTGACGACCTAGGTTTGTGTGTGTGTGTGTGTGTGTGTGTGTGTGTGTGTGT